ATTTTTCCAATTGGAAAAATTAGTAAATAGAAAGGTCAAAAATCAAAAGCGTGTTATGTATCCAAAATATTAATTTCAGCCTACCGAAAGGGTCCGTAGAAACAAGAGGCAAACTTCGCAGCATATGACATGACCGACACTGTGCGTGAAAAACCGCCCCGCAATAGTGCCTTCTTTATGGCCAGTACACGGCCCTCCGACATGTCTGACGGAGCGATTATTTGTGCACCTTTGTGTAAAAAGACAAACAATTCAGTGCAGTTCACAGAAGCTTGTGCAATAGAGTGCAAACAAAGGACAAGGGGAACTTCACCTGCTTTAGCATAATTGAGAGCGATTTCGGCCAGTCGATTAACTGTTCCGTCAACATTCATCTCCCCGTCGTCTTTGTTTAAATCTACGGGAAGAATAGTCAAGCCAAAGGGTGGAAACTAACTTACAGCAATGATGTGCTGTTGTATAGGCACAGAGGCAAACGTCACAGACGACAATTAGGGAAGGAAGTTCGGTCCGCAGTTCTCTTAACGCGGCACAAACAGGACTCCGTTCACTATCCGCAGCTGATCCATTCTCGTCCTTCATGTCAGTGTCAACAACACCAAAGAGGAGGACACATCGAAGACCCTTTTCTACTAGAGGCCTAAGATAGGAAACCAAACGCCGGACGCCAAGTCGTTTCTGACCAGGTAGGCTAGGTATATTTTCCTCAACATCTTCGTGACAACTAGGAGAAAATTCAAACGAGTTTGTTTGCTTACCTGACAAAGACAGGGTAGATTAATAAGTCTTTAAGAAGTATGCAGGAAGAAGATTGCCACAGACGCAAGAGTGGACCACTGTAGCCGGAATGAAGAGAGTGGGTCTGTTGGTTCTGAGTAAAACAGGGAAATGACACAGAAGTAGCCGTTCAGAAGGACTAAATAATTCACAAGAGCATTTAGTGAGCTATACTTCGTTAAGTAATATAGAATTTGTTTGAGTTTCCGTACTTCCCGCCCTAGCGTAAGTTAGCATGTGTTTCGTCCGGTGGCGTTCGAGATGCAAGCTGCATGAGAGTCCGTTCGTGATAAGTCTAATTCACTGTTGGCCAAACATTAACCCACCAAAGAATCATATCAAGGTAGTTCAAATAAATTGAACACTATGCCGTCTAACTCGATTTCTGAGCAATCTACTTCAAACAAACTTATCAGAACAGCATAAATGAACACATTAATTCGTATCAGAGTTATAAATTCAACTCATGCACGGGCTTTTGAAAAGGAGTGAGCATAGTTCTTGTCGTTATATTTCAAGCTATCATGAAAGTTACCGTGACTTGTCGAAGCATTCATAGCTCCGTTGGACCTAACTTAAAACACGTTATCTTGGGTTGCTTTAAAATAATCCAGCTGGCAATGGGTAACATCTGATGGTACGCCAGCCTTTAAGACTGCACAATGCGGCATCGACGAGTGAGTACACTGTGGTCCTGAAAAGTCGATTCTGACAGGATTACTGATACCGGGAGTAGACGCATTTGCAGTACCCTCATCTAGCACAAACTATTAGCCATTCACATCAAGGAAAACTAAAATGCTCTGCCTTGAGTCCTCGGCGGCTGCCCAAACGTGCATGAGGCCCTATTATTTTGCCAATTTGGAATATTCCTTAACGGGATTAAGGCTCTAAGATTTTTAAACCTGGACTAGTAAGTCAATACTCATCATTCAAAAGTTAAAACCACTAGAACACACGCTTTTGCTCCATCGTACAAAATTCCACGTACACCATTGCGTAGTCCAATTCAGTTAAAGTTCACGGTTCCCATTCAAGTGCCAAAGTCTGAGCAGTGCTCCTATTCTTTGAAACCGTATACTATCGTGGCCGTACACATAGTACAGACAGAGGTTTAGAACCGGTCTTAACTGTCCCTAAAGCGAAACGAGTTAAATCGATTATAACGAACATACTTCAACCGTTCCCCGTAGCTTCTCGTCGTTGTTTTTTTTTATTAGATTCCTTCACGTAGAGTCCGCTGACAAGCATCGGCTGTTCTGTATGGTCCCAACCCGTGATTCTGGGTTACCAAAAATAGCTGACTATCCAATTCTTTGATTTATCGCTTTTCTGCTGGATACCGTAATGATTTCCCAAGAGCATTTGCAATACAAAATAGCAAATTATTGGTCTTCAGTTGGAGCTGAATAGGCATCGACTCCAATTGGGCACGGAAAGCGCCGTGAACATCCTCGCCCCATCTGTAGAGTGCACTGGAGATTCATGTTTTACCTACCGCGTAGTTAGCGCATGAGCAGTTCCTTCCAATTTACCAATTGAACCGTAAAATGTTAGGTGACAGCAGTCTACTTTCGTAAATAACGGGCATTTCCGATTAATAGCGATTTATTTCCAAATGTCGCCATGACCGCGATGTGTAAAAGATGCGATATGGCACTAGAACCGGTCATACATTTGGATCGTGATAGTGTTCTACGTGTACCCCTCAACCCCCAGTGCTCTAATCCCTTCCAGTAACAGTAACATTAAGGAAAGTGTGATCTCATTTCAAGCTGGGGATGCATGGTAGTAAGGCTGTATTTATCACCGAATATTTGTCCACCATTTTCTCCAGAGTTCAGGTAAATAAGGCATATTACCCATTACAATCACGCGGCAGGTAAGGACGGAACGCCAATTGCTACCATTCTCCCTCAATAAAAACAAATACTTTTACAGGATATTGTGACAATTTTAGAGATCTCTAAAATTAACCGTCAAAAGTATCAAGGCGTATTACCAGTTTGAAGACCATGCCTATAACCTTATAGACACAATTTCAAGTAAGCGCGATGTCCGCTTGGAAAGTTAACAGACAACCAAGTATAAGCAGCGGACGAAAGCATATGAACCACGAGAGTGAATACAAAGGCAGAGCATGACTTTTCTTACCATTTTAAGGTTGGTTTGTGATACCCGAGACAGAGGGGGTGTCCGGCTTCTTGTCTATCTTCTCA